CCACACAGTACTTTTAGGGAGAAGTATGGAATTTTCGGCTTGTGACACCGGTAGCCCAAATTTCGCAGGCTGACCATTGATATCAGGTGTGAGCCGGCAGGAGATCGAATCCCGGACCATGTGCATGGTCGGCGAGAGTCCTAACCGCTCTGCTACTGACGCGCAGGGGCTTCACATAAAATAGTAATATGTAGTATATCGTGTGACACAATGCTGTTCGATTTGAAGCATAGACTGAATAAACACTTATGATATTTTTCTTTCGTCTCGGAGACATGCCCACTGCTACTCTGAAAGCCACTTCATAATCTGCATGAACATTTCGCCCTTATAGAATATAATTAATTACATGGTTGAAACAATAAGAATTATAGAAAATGAAATATTCTGTTTTGGATAGAATTTCAGGGAAGTAGAAAGAGTTGCATATTACTCTTTTATACTACAGTAGGATAAAACATTGCAAAACTAATTTCTCGACGAATAATAAAAGCTCCAGTAGAAATCGCTGGATCGTTATTTCAACCGTTGTTTGAAACACTTCAGCATTAAACACGTACGACTCTACGATGATGCGACCTGTGAACAATCGAATCACAACGCATTATCGATATAAGGAAAAAAAAACTTGGGCACTGTGGTAGAGCATAATTCCATTATGGATGAAATTTTATTTTGATAAAATCACACAGTGTTTGTTATACAGTAAAATTTACTGAAGACCACGTTTTTCGAGGACAATTTATTACTGTTCATAATCATCATATCAATGCACTACTCACACAGCTTTCTTGCTTCATTTATATGCATGAGCAAAAATTGATGATTGGACATTTAAATGAAATCAGTAATACAAGATAAAGTACATTCGGAAATAATAGTGTTAGTGGTATCAATAAAATACAATACAGTTATATGGGAAATAAGATGTTTTTATAGTGAAAATAAATAAGTAACTTGTTATAATGTTATAATGTGAAATGAATACATTTTAACATTATTTATTATCTTCCTGTGATTCCACCGGTTGTGATAATATCTTCCATATCTCTGGTATCAGCGATGATGAGAACTTTAAAGGAATAAAACAAAAACAGAAAAGTTTTAACAGAATTGCAAATTTTATACATATGACGCCAGTTGACAAAAGGTTCCGAGCTTAGTGAACAGTGCTCAGGAAATGACGATGATACAAATTTAGACAAGGTGTTGGAGTTTACTCAAAGTAAATGCATGCATAATTTGGTAAAGGAGGTACGTAATAAAAACAAGAGATGTGTAAGATAATGAGTGACTAATACATTAGATAACAATGCACTGAGTTCAACTCAAATCATAGAAACACAGTTGAACCTTATAAGCGTAATTTTCTGAGCACTGTTCACTAAGTTCGGAATCTCCTGTCAACTGGCATCATACGTATAAAATTTGCAAGTGTGTTAAAACTGTTCTGTACATATACATAATTAGTCTGTAAGCAGTAGCTGATGAGAAGCCGACGGAATAAATGATGGTATCATATTATTCTGCATAAGCCACTCTTCTTCTTGTTTTATTCGAAATAATTTAATTCTTAGAAGAACCGATCAAACATGTATCCGTCAACCTAAGGCTGCCATAATTGAAAGAAAATCAATATACTTCGTCTTCTTCTTTATGTTCTTCTGAGTTCCGAGTGGGGAGAGGAGTTGATATATTAAAGGAGATTTCAGAGTGCAATGTTGGGGAATTGAAGCCGAAACACCAACATGATTCGTGTGCATTCTGTCATTGAACTACAAACACACATTTTCTATTCTGTCTCACATTACGAATCATTTATCATCTTGAATGTGGATAGTTTGATATGAGTCGGCTTTATCACTTTAGTCCAACCTGGTACGAACTATTGATACGCTCGATTCTGCAATGTTTGTGTAACTTTGATCTGTCTGATAACCATTACTGTTTAATAACAATTAAAAAAAAATCTCCAAGCCACATTGTGAACAATATCAACTAAAGCGATATTGTTTTATCCGAAGCATGCTCTAATAATCGACGATGTTTTTCCTCCATTTCCATCAGAGAATTCATAGTATTAAGTTGAAAACTATTTGAAGACGTACCTGATTACACATTGAGATTCTTAAACATAATTGGTGAGTTAAAACAGTATGAAGTGGAGTAAACATGATACACTGACGCGGATAGAAAACTTAGGTAGGGTAGTGATTCAAGCAGGCTGCAGGACGTGATTTACTTTAAAAATCTCATTATGCTATTTACTATCAATCTGTTGCACATTAGTAACTGGGGTTGCAAAGGATTTCTGGAAATTCGAAGTGAAGATGTCGAGGCCAGTGGAATTTAACTGAATCGACCGTGAAGATAATCAGTCATTGATATGAGGAGTTAGAAATGATAATTCAGTAGGTCCTGGTAGAAACAACAACTGAAAGGTAGTAATATTCCTACTAAGAACCTTTATAGTTTTGAATTATATCTTACTTGTGCTGCTATCATCTCCAAAACATCTGTTCAAGCTTATCTGAAAAGATGGCGAAATCTACTCCGATATATATCTTTCTTGTTTATCTTCATGAATTTACTAGGTTATGTGCTTGTGTATTGTCAGAAAACCTCTGAAGTTTCATTAGTATCCAACATTCCCTATTTTCTAGACTTACTACTCACCTGGTGAGGTTTAGGTGCACATAGACTGGAATTCGGAGCCTACCTTCCAACATGGTTAGCAAACATTCTACCATTGAACAACTGACACAGTAGTTGAATAGGCAACGGATTCATCTTGTCATTCGAAAGTCCCTGGTTCTACTCTTGGTGGGATGATTGGGGAATACCTCTCATGAGTCTGGAAGAGGATTGAAACATCTATCTAGTACACTTTGGTTTCATTTGACAGTACTACACATTTTGCCATTCAGATTCATCAAACATTAGTATTAGCGTATTTATAACGTATAACAGGTGTCCCATTGAGATTCGTATTATTTATTACACAAACACAGAATATGGATGTTCATTAAGTTTAGTTTTAGAGATTTACATAGAGGTGAAGACATTGGTTTCACTCCAGGCGATGACCAATATCTCAATTCTCTGACTTGAAAGGCTGTGACACCTTTCAATATATAAGACTTCAGTGAATTATTCACCAAGGATGACAGAATGCATTCAGTGAAATTCTCCATGGTGGAATGAAATACAATTATGTCATTAGTTAATTGAACATCAGTCCTTGCATGTGTGAGTAGGTGAAATGGCTGAAAATCCACCTCCATCGCCACCCCACCCCAAAGAAAGGGAATTATCAGCTATCCGCCATGGAAAAGGAAGGAATATACTAGTTTTCATTTTATTATAGGCAATACCGGAATGTTAATTTGTTTGTTTAGTGTACCACTTCCTGTTTGTAGGTATTCGATCTAGTTCAGTTTATATCTGGTCATGGTCAGATGTCAGTTGACGAACCGTGGGAAATTAAGTAGCACAGGACAGTTGTTTTCTTCTGCTTCACACCTCGTCAGTGCAGTCCTACAGCTGTCTAATGCTTCTTCATTTTCAATGACGAGTTCTAATTGATAATGAAGTTCACTGGAAGCATTGAAGTTGTTTTTATCACAGGGTCTCGTATCGTCTAAAGAAACGCTGATCACCAAGAAATATTTAATTCGATTCTTGAGTCTTTCAGTAGTTTCCATTGTAGACTGTTGGTTTGAACCATGTGTGGAGATACAGACTACCCATCTGAGTTGGTTGAGACTTTAGGCACTAATGGCTTCAGAATGTCGGTGATAACGGTTGGATTCGTTTTCATTAGGGCACATGCATGCATTCACTCTTTGCAATCCTCATTATTCTCCATATAACTACTCATTCTGCCATACATATCTTTTTATTTTATATTTCTTTCGGATTTCGCCTCTCCACCCTCACATGATATACCATGATCATTCTTCACTTATCATCCATCGATACTTATATATCCAATATCAACTTCTGTATTTTCATCGATTACAAATAATCACTAAAACTGTGTGCATTTGAAATCAATCGTCAGTTGAGTATTGTTACTCACGAATTAATTAAGTAATACTGTAAAACTGTTATATGCACGTTATATGTCCATGTTCAACACCTGGCCGACGAATAGCTAAACGTTGCCTAGCCAGAAGTAAATGCGATATCGCGGGTGCAGGTTGGTCATGAGGCTAGCAACACCACACCCTATAAAACAACACCACCACTACGAGAACTTTAAAGCTCCGGTTTAAAGCCCTCTATCCCACTCAGAACGAACAAAGAAACGAAACTAAAAAAGAATTAGGCTACAATCTCATGAAGTGATTGGAAAAAGAAGACATTTGAGTCGGGTTTGGTGTCTGACTGTTACGAATTGTACCTTTCATCGGATGGTGCGCACTCATTGTTGAAGAGTATTAGTGTAGGATGAAACAGTTGTAATGATTTTTACAAAGTACTTAGTCAACCAGTGTCCTCGACTTCTCTACTAGTATCAAATTGTTACATTATGTTGATGCTTTCTGAGCGGATCAAACTCAAAAGGAATGCAGGAATTAACCAATAAGCTACTCAACCAGTAAAAACAGCAACAACAATAATCCCAACAAATAGCAGTCCTGTGTCCTTCTCCTGATCACTTTTCAACTACTTTATTAAAATTATGTTATCAACAACACTACAAAAATGATCAATCCAATCCAATGGGTTATTTCTTCCACCAATTATATTAAAGTGACAACAATATATGACAGCTTTTCCAATGAATACTTTGGGTCAATCACGTGGTTGGTAGAAAGCATGACAATTATTTTGATTGGCTCAATTTCCTCCCACGTGAATTATTGCATCCTTGTTTTACACAAATACTCTACTGTCATTGGTTAGTCGATAAACACGCGAATGTGAATATAAATGAAAGTGAACCTGATCCAGAGTTGATTACAAATTCTCTCGTGGTTTTAGTTGTTGTGATAATGTACCATTTCCCAATAACCACATGTCGTGGGGACGGTGCACGTGTACCACCTGTACCTGTTTATAGTTCATCAAGTGGGATTACATCACAGAATCTATTATCAGGATCTGATTTAGTTGGTCCTTCAACTTCACAAAATGAAATACCTTCCAAAAGAGGTAGACCGTCGACTATACCACGTGAGATTAGAGAAGAAACACGTCGAGTAAGTTCATCTCTCGTATAAATTTGTTAAAATTGCTTCTTGGATTTGTAATGTTGAATGTATAGTGTGTTCTACATTGATGATTATGTTACATTAGGCACTTAATTTGTCCGGTTTCCCAGTGAGAGAGATATACCATGCACTAGACTTTGAAGTCCCAGTAGTGCTTGTAGTGTTTGTATGGGGTTGGGTTTTCTAGTCTGATACTCAGCTTTGGCGAAAGTGAAGTACCATATATGAAGTCAAGCTCTGCGAAAAGTTGGCCTTCGAGAACCACTCAGATCCAGGGAACGCTGCAAAATGTGATTCCGAATGAAATCATGCCTGCGTTTTTGGATTTGGCGAGGTTAGATACAGTTTTCTAATTACTGTCCAGACGCTTCCTCTCTAAATCTTTTTAGCTTAGTCTTTTTAGGGTATGGGGTTAAGTGAGGTTAGAAATCAGGCTTGAGTCAGGATTAAGGTTAGAGTTAAGAGTAGGTTAAGGGACAGTGTCTGAAAGCACCATGACCTGGAGTCACCTGGATGAATGCATCTATCACGTATGGTGTGATTTCTCTACAGATCATCTGTGTAGTAACTGAGAGAAATTCCTTCATCTCATAAGCGATAATCATGTGGTGTAACATCATATTTTCAATGTGTTTTGGTGCATTTTTCGAAGATGTGTATGTGACTTTTGTGTCTGGATTGTGATTGGTTGTTCAAGGTTTCCGCTATTGTGGCTATGATGGTTTAACTTTGACCAACTTCCATTGTTTTCCAGTTTTACTACTGATTTACTGGTTTGAGTGGCTGTCGGTGGAGAATAGAACCGCGGGCGACGTATTTCGCTGATGGGTCCTGCGATCCTGGTTCATCAGGGTGCTCTTTGTTGTTAGGCTATACAGACCTAATTGTACGAGGTAGAAATCCAAATGCAAGAAGTAATACAAGGGACGAAATTTTGAAGAGATTACTATCGATATTGGTTCTATGCTCTAACCTACTTCAGAATCCCATTCCTCTGAGAAGACGGGTTATCCTACTATGATTCCCGTGTATATACGGTTTGGTAACTTTAATTAGTTCACTGCTTATTCACCTCAGCCAAACTATTCGATATTCTGGAATTGGTTATGCGAACCCAGGACAGAAGATATGTCTGTAAATCTGATTGGCTTTGAAAGGAATTGGAATTCTGCATGACTAATTCAATGTAGTTTTTACTTATCAGTCCTATATCTCCCAATGTAATTTCAAAACTATATATATCCGTGTATGTAAAGTATTCAGTCCTATATCTCCCAATGTAATTTCAAAAGTATATATCCGTGTATGTAGAGTATTCAACTGACGAGTTCTACCGAAATTTGATGAATTCATTAAATCCTGCTTTATTAACCTTTATTGCTTGTTTGAAAGGAATGCCTCATGTTGATTTAGTATGTCACCAACACACAGACCTTAGTCAGTGATTAACTGGATATTTGTCACAGGTCTATGTAATAATCGTATAGATGGTAGGGGAAGAGACTGGGACTTGTGGTTCACGACAGATGACTTCAAACCTGTTTTAATCCTTTCCTAATAACTATCTAACCATGTCTAATCGCTTCTTGAACGAGTCGACTGAGATCATGGAAGCCACTATGTTTTGTGAGTGGTTTCTAAGATTGCATGACTCGATGGATGAACAAGTACTGCATAGCGATGTAGTTCTTCCTTCCATGTCTTTTGAACTCTCCTGTTATGTTGTCTTGGGTGTTCCGATGTGGTAGGAAAGTGAGGTGAGAATAGACCAGTTTATTTCGGTGTAATGTACTGAACTTTAGTGGTCAACTGTTCGAGGTAGAAATTGCTTACTAGAGAATACATTGAGGTTTTCCGGAGGATAAGACGTATTATTTATAATTTTCTAAAATATTCCATCGGTTAGCAGTTGATGTCATTGATTTATTGATCGAATGTCTATATGCTTTTTCATAGTAGTAATAGTAGTAGTATCACCGAGTGACTTACATTTCACACATCAGTAGTATCCCTTTACTAATATTATCTATATATATTATAGAGTAGTAACAAGCGAATAGTGTGACTGACTGACTGATATCTTGTTAGTTGTTAGTCAGTTGTTGTTTATTTAATTTTTTTAATTATTTGTACTACACATAGGCGACTAATTTTTCAAGATGAGTCAACACACTAATAATAATAATAAAAACAATAATAATAATAATAAAAATAACAACAACAAGGATATTGACAAATATGTTTTAAGTGACAGTGTTGGGAGAAGTGTTGTCACTAGGTTGGTTACTGGTCAGATGCTCAAATGCATTAAAATCAATATGTCCAAATACACTAGTTGACTGTGTAATCAATACTGTGGCATTTTGAGTGACTTAGCAACATGCTTTTTTCTTACTGTCAGCTATACAAGCGAAGTATGAGTCACACATTTTTAAAATCAAATCAGATCGAATGAAATCGAGTGAGAAGAATTTAGGTCTATGAGTATAGCAGCCATAGTATGTTGTTGTTATTGCATGAGTCACTTGTGTGTGGGTGGGGGAAGAGGAAGTTATATTAACCCGAATTAATTTATATGTGTCTAACTAAACTGAGTCCACATGAGATGATAAGTCTATATGATATATAATACAGGGCATTGACGTTTCAAGCAGAATTTATTGCGCATCATCATGTCAACAGGTTAATTAAGAGAGAAAATTAAATTTGATTTTAATTTTGATATGACCGTGTTGTAAGAACGCAAACTGGTTATTAAGCATGTATAGCACTGAGTGGGTGGGTGACTTCTAAAATGTAGCAGCCGAAAACGAAACCGCCCTAAAGAATGAATTAATGTTACCTTGAGAGGCAACCAGTCAGATGAGTCAGTGGTATATGTGGAGGCAATTGTGGATGGTATACACGAATTCGGTGGCGAATTTCAACCACATCTAGTATTTAAGTAATGCTCAAACAACAGGCTGATTGTAAGAAAGTAGTGGAAGTAGTGCAGTCAACTGTCATCCGTAGGTTACATACCCTACGTGGTCACTCATTCGTCATTCCTTTCAATGGGAATCATACAAATTCCATTGAAAGTTTCTACAGTCACCTAAAAAATTGGGATCATTACTTTTGTGTAAATTTTTTTTTCATACTAAGCACTTCTACTTCGAATGCATCTGATTGGTCGGTAGAGATTTGTCAAGGTATTTATTAGGTAGTTTCATTTTGGGCTGCTATACTTTAGAGTCAGTAACACTGTGTAAGCTTTACCAAATCAATTTAATTGGTGTGAAATTAAATTTATTTATGGCCTTCCTGTTCGTCGTTGGCAGGTCGGTGGGTTGGTGGGTGACTTTTCAATGTGCTCAAAATTATTGTTCCTTAGTGTTTGATTATTGACCCATCCAGTTAACTAGTCATCTAACTGATAACTGCATTTTTCCATGTTTCTTCTGTTTACATAAATTAGCTGAAAAAACAGAATATGGAACGTCGACGACGTGCTTCGATCTCAGATAAAATGAACGCTTTGCATAGTTTAGCTATGGAGCTGATTGGAATTAATGTGAGTACATTGATGATTTCTGTTATCATATTGCCTTATTGGTTTTTATTATCTTCGTTGTTGTAAGTAGTTAGGTGTAAACAGTATTGACACTATAGTAACATGATTTCTATTTTGACCAGGAGTTCACTTCAGTTAGAGAAATATAAAAGGTCATCGGAGGGTTGTTTCGTCCCAGTTTGAGACTGATGAATGGTGACATCTCATGACCCCACAAGGGATGGTAGTCAGGAAGTTCAGGTTATAAGGTGAACTCGTATGCTGTTCGGGTATGAGGATGGATTCAAATGGCCACGAAGAGCTGGAATTCATAGAAAATGTCATTCCATTTGAGTGACTTAATGGCCAGTGGGAATGTCTCGTGACTTGAATGTCCTTGATTCTATTCTCGTCGGAGTCATGTCTGCGTACTTTTGAAGAGTCATAGTTCTTGTAATTAGTTAGATGTGGACATTGTGTAATGTGAATTACCTTCCCTACACCTGTCATTTATATGACAGGACGAACAGACGTGATACCTTTCGTCTATTCTGAAGTTTATGCATACAGTGTTTCATATCGTATAGTATTTTTAGTTATTCTTATATCCCGAATTGAACTTTTCCGTTTCTTTGAGAATTTAGCTGGAATGATGACTGTCAAGTCACTGAATTAATGATGTGGATATTATCCAGTGTTGCTAATCGGTTTTTCACTCCTTTTGTGTTCTCTTTGGGGACATGAGACTTCAAGCTTGAGCTCTGGAGTTTCTGTTAGCATGATGTGATTTTTTCTCATGGTGGATGAATTGCTAGCCTCATGCCTCATCCTTTTCCTTCTTACTGGCCTACTACCGGCTAAGCGAGGCTTTGAAGACCGCCAGGAATCGGCAGTAGACAGTCCTGACCCGGACCACGTACGTAGTTTGTAGACATTCTGCCATTGAACTAGCAATGCTTACTTACTATAACTCAGGAATTTTATTCTCCGTCTCACTGAAAATAAATTTCTCAATGTTTTCACACTCCTCAGTTTTTTTTATATTTTTTCACATAATTCTTCTGAAAGATATTATAATATTCCACATTATTGCACATGTATCGAATCATCCGTTAGAGCGAAATGTGTCCTTGTGAAATACACATCAGTACTCTCTCACGCTTATCACCTATTGAAGTTTATCGCTAATCTGAACATTCGCATACATGAGTATATGTGTGTTAGACACATGGATGCATTACCCACACCCAGAATTATTATTATTGTTCACACTTCCTACTTTTATGTTGCAGTGACATGATGGACGATGAGTGAGTGTTGGATTAATTACACTAATTACTCATTTTGTCATTGTTGTTGTTTTTCCTGGTTTCATTTCTCTTAGTAACTGAAAGTATAACTAACTAACTAACTAATATCGACGTCATAGATTAGTTACATAATGAATAACATAAACATTTTCTCGCCCACTATTCAGATTTGCTTTTTGTTGATGAATTATTATGATTTCACATTTTGTTTCGTCAAAAAATGAGAGGGAAGAAAAACTCGAGGTGGTGGTGGGTGGAGAGGTTTATTCGGAATCAGTGAACATCGGTGTTGTTTCCACCCATGTATGTATGTTATAATTCCAGTAATATTTTATGTATATACTCACACACGAAATTAGACACTTGAAAAACGCTTGAAACATTTAATAACTTGACTGATGTTGAATTCACCTCCTCTACTAATCACAGTCTTTTTTGTTTTATGAGTGTAAATCCGAGGTGTGCCCGTCCTCCTCTTTGTAGTACTCCCTATCCTACTGGTCACTAAAGAGCTGACTAGGATGAATATTAGTCAGTTAAACAATCAGAGATAAGCCGAAAATTATTGACTCCTTCTTTACAACAACAAAATAACCGACTAATTCCTTTTTGTTTCTGTTTTTCTCTCCACAATTTCAGCCTGATGAGAGTCAAAAGCTTGAGAAGGTTGATATGTTAAGTCTTTGTTACACCGTATTGGAACTAGTTGCTAATATCGCTAAAGATAAACCCGGTAAGTGTGTTTCAACGGTGTGTAAATATTTTTTCAGAAGAATTTTGACTTGAGTACTAACCACTTGAAGCGGCCTCTTAGTTTGGTTTATAATTTTTGAAATACACTCAGTGGCTGGCTGGCTACCAATGGAGTAATCGATATCATGTGTTTGAGTTGACTGAACTGTTTCCACCATGTTTGGAATATAGTCAGCATGTAACATGAGTGTCGATAACCAGGACTCGTACACACTGCGTCACACCATTTTCACAAAGACATCAGTTTAAGATATTACTGTGGAATGCACTTGTGATGCATAACTTACAAGTGAGGAGAGGTCACCATTGGGAATATGGTACATGATGCTGAGACTTTCGACTTTGTTGATAAAAAATCTGTTAGTTCAAATGATCTCATATTGTATTGTATTGTATTGAGATCTTAGTTATTGTATATTTAGTAGTGGTTGACGTTGACGATGAAATGTAGGGTATGAGTTTCCTTTACTGTTCGACTCGTCATTTAAGACGTAATGTAGATTTTAGTCAAATAGTGTAGATACTGAGCACGCCGGCTGTTCCTTTTCAAACTTGTTGCTGTTTGTCTGGTGGTGAATAAACAATGAAATTCAAGGTGTATTTGCGTTTTGTTCCCGTCTAACACTGATCGGTCGAACGTGTATGTATATTACTACATCCGGTGAGGATACGTCGACAACAGGGAATTGTGAAAGTACACAGAATCACTTCACGTTACCTATAGTTTAATTGGATTGTTTTTTGACACCGAAGAAGAAGAAGAAGAGAAAAATTGAAATGAAGGATTAAGATCCCGACATAGAATAGATTTTCTGTGATTAAGGATTTCTCACTTTCTATATTAACTATGGGTGTTGTAAAAATCATGACGAGAATTCTAGCAGTGAGTTCATGAACCAGTTTCTGATACGTACCATTTCAACATGTCATATAGAATGACTTGATGCTTATTACCCCCCTTCTTTGTCTTTCTTCAATTCTTCATAGAACTACAAGCACGTTTGAGGAAACTACGTCATAGTTTGTATGACGTGACATCTTCCTCTCCTACCAGCAATGACATTCCATCCTCCGCCTCCTCGTCGTCATCATCGACATCTCGGTCGACGTCAGCGACGAAGAAGCTGGATAAATTCACTAAATCATTGCATAAAGTGGCCATAGCAGCAACAGCGACAGCAGAAAGTCGAAAACGAGACTATGCGTTTGTGACGAATAAACTTTCTGAAGAAGAAGAATATTCTGTTGTGAATACTAATTCATCTTCTGAAATAACACGAATACTACCATCGTCTTTCTTCCAATCAAATGCCGATACAACTACCACTGCTAATCCTAATACCACTAATACTTCTACTGCTACTACTACTGCTAACATTCCTCAGTCTACCCAGCTGGTGATTGATGAAGACAATAAAGAGAATAAGATACCGAAATTGATTATTAAAAATGCATTTTGGAATAAAAGCTGTTCAGTAATGAAGAACATTACCACGAATACCGTTACAACACCACCAACAATCCCTTTTAGTTATGTGCACAATTCATCTTCTAAGTCTACTCCATTGCCTTCAAAATCATCATCATCATAGTATTCTTCGTCGCCTGTTCAACTCCTCCTACTACCACTCCCCCTCCTCCTCTTCGTGACAGGTTGATGACGAACAATAGCAATCAACAACATTCAAATACTGAGACACATTCATGGAATAATAGCAACCAGTGGCTGTCATCAACACCGGTAGGAGAACATAGAAAACATTTGGATTCCACACTGAATAATTCTGATAGTGGCTTTCTCAGCGGTGACAACAGTCATTCATCAGGTTTAATAGATGATAATCGAACAAATCACTTTGGTATTGTCAATGACGAGTATACTCAAGTGATAGAATCTATTAAACCTTTGGATACACCGAATGTTGTTCATTCTTTAACTGATTTACTCATGAATTCAACGTCATCACCGTTTCAAAAATTAGAAGAGAAAGAGGAAGAAGAACGAGAACAACAGCAACAACGCTTTTCGGCGTTTCGTGTGCCTGTGAAGACTACGACAGACTCTTTAAGCAGCAATCCCACATCGACTTATTTTCATCGACAACATGACACAATGACTTTCAATCCTACGACAACAACATCAACTACTTTTATTCCTTGTAATTCTAGTCATGACACCGTGAAGACAACTAGTACTACAACAGCAACAACATCGCCACCGATATGGAGACCATATTTAGACTAGATTGAAGATGTACTTTATTTTTTTATATTAGCGCCGAAAATCTGTTTTCATATATAAACATATACATACTTTGAAACAATTTTCATACTGTACATAAGACTAAGCCATACATCATAAGTAAATAGATGTCACTTGAGAATCTGCTTATTACTTTTTATTGCTAGAGATTGTATTCAACAAGATTTGTATTTGCTTATAATTTTTCGAGATAAATAGTTTGCAAATTTGAAATACATTGTTAGCTTCTTTTGATTTCATGTATGGGTTGTTAATGTCCGGAAGTGAAGAGGTATACCTCGTAGTTAAAAGCAGGGTGAGAAGTATTAACTTTCGAGTTATATTAGACCTTTCAATTTCTAGCAGGTATTCTAAGTAAAAGGATTATTATTTTTTGAGGAATTTAATGCCTGTATGGTGAAGCAGGAGTCGAGTTTAGTAATCTACATAGGTTTCTCAAGGTTGATCACAGATGAAATATCAGTTGGAGGAGGACTGGAAAAACCAAGGGAGTAGTGGAGAGGTTTTCGTCCTAGTTTTGAACTCACGTGTGGTAAAAGCCCACCAGAGGGGTTCAAACCCAGGGCCTTTCTAAAAGACGGAGCTAATGTGTTTTTACAAGGTGGTGCAGCCACACCATCAGTCCTACTTTCGGAACTCTACAATTATGTCTTATCTAAAAATCTGAAAAACATATCCGTTTACCACATAAACATAGATGGGCCGTTTCCAATTACCAAACCGGAAGCAGCTGGACACTTTCGCAGTGCAGCACTTTTTATAAGTGATGATGTTAGAGAGGCAGTGAGGACTGGGAGATCTGATTACATTTCAATATTATATCACTCGTGAAGAAATTTAAATCATTTCACTTTGTGCTAAATGTGGCGCTGAAGATGTTGTCCAGAAGGACGACGAAAGCTTCGCAACTAAACCAACCAGCTCAGAGAACACTATTCATTGCAAATCATCCACCTGAGCTACAAATCTTCTCTATTATTATTTGTCTCCCCTTTGAATGGAGTTATATTGTAATTCCACGTGTTATAAAGAGTTAATTGCCAGACGCTTAGAATATATAAGCATAATTGGCCTGACAACAGCAACAACAACAACAAGTTGAGGATAGTAATTAGGCGTAATTACATATCTGTGTGTGTTTTACTGACTGAATCTATGATTATATAATAACTGGATACAATAATTGACGATATATGTTGTGGTATTATTGTCACTGGAGATTTTGAGTGTCTTCTATCTGATGAAAGTGCATCACGTACAATATTATTTTCGACAGATTCCATGTAATTTAGTGGCTTGAATAAAATTGCATCATAACCACATTGAAAAATGCAAAACAACTATTGATTTAGTAATTTAGGTGACTATCACTAAGAGATTTCGAATAATACATTCTGAAACAATAATATATGTTTTGTGTAATTGGAGGCATCTGTGAATAAATGCCTTTGGCGGGTGTGGGGGGGGAAGTTATCAACATGTGACACATGACAGCTAAGCGTACATAAAAGAATATCATTTTGCACTAAGATTGATAAGGCTTTGATTGGACACTAGGCAGTAACTCATATCATGCATCTAGTCCTCGGTGTTGGAGCAGACCAAATTCTACTAGTCAGGTTTGCATCATGGCCTCATGAAGTTCACTTTCATGATGCACTCTGAATTGTTGTTCGATGGTCGGATTGTTAGTTTGCACGAACACCAAGGACTAGACTGGTATGAGTTACTACTCAGTGTCATCGAAGTATCGATACGGTCCTACAGGAGTCAGAAAAATACTAGGGCAACATCTTGACTGCGTACTACTGGTAACAGGGACATGAGTCCCTTCAAGATTGCTGATACGCCTTCCTGACTGGTATCAACAAGTACTAAACCTAAGTCCAAGGCTTCCTTCCGTTTGTCTTCAACCACCTAACGAAATTGAAAATCTCTGAAAGATGAAGAAAATCTTCGTTTTGAAAGGGTTCGAATCAACAGACCATTTTTCCCCCAAATCATTTGAGCATACATATTTCTAACGTCGTATATCATTTGATGACAATGGGATGGATAATTAATGATTAAAAATCTGCTTGACCTTCAGTCACCACCTGTTACATCCGTAGTAGTCTGACAGTTTAGAAAAAGTATCTGAGATAGTCTTATTATCATGTATGGTTGTGAGACAGGAAACAGACGTAAGCGATCTACACCAGTCCATAGGTTCATCATTCTGTTAAATCTAAGTTGAACAATACTAAACATTTTTCAATAAATGCTGAATGAACCAACATCAGTTAGAAAGATCATTGAAAACCAGAGAGCACTGGACAACTGTTTCGTCCTGGTCTGCGACTCTTCATCAGTGCGTACCCATGAACCCACCTGAAACTATAATCTAAATATCAATCTACAGCTCACTGATGGCTACTGGATAGATGTTCTGAAGTTGTACTGAAAAGTTGTAACCTGTAGAGTTCACCATGTCAAGGTGAAGTGAATATTCATCGAAGACATTCATTTAAGGGTGGCGTTACAACCCGAATTGACAGAAGTTAGAATTCACCGGTCATTGAATTCCCTCCCAAATGGTTGAATAGTCAACAAGCATGGTCTGGTAACCTGAAGGTCTTGCGTTCAGTCACTGTTGAAGAGTCCTAAAGTAGGACGAAACAGCTTTTCATTGCTCCCTGGTTTTCTTTCTATTCCCGTAACTGATGGATTGATTTATGGTGAATGAAATCTAATAACTGAAATTAATCCACATCCTTACAACAACAAAAAACAACACCATAATCTGAATCCACAATGACTAAGAATGCAATACTGATTGATTAGCCGATCACACCCAGCCTTACGTACAATAGCTAAAGTAAGAAGGTGAATCAGGCTATTGTGATAATATTGAGTAAAGACGTCATCATACTACAGAATACAGAATTGTTTTGTTAAGAAATTCTATTATCCTAATGTTAAGTAAGTTAACTAGTAGTTAACTTAGATGAGGTCAACACCATTCTCACATTGACTAGGCATGTTATATCTTTATTGTTACATTGTCAACTATAAAAATATGGCGTGTTAAAACACTTCTATGCACTGATAAATATATAATAATAATAATAATAATAATAATAGAAAGAATGTTTCTATCAAATATGATGTTGTTGTATGATTTAGAAAATAATTGTCTTTTTGATGATATGATGATGGTTTCAATGAAATGTAATAGCCATGTGCCAATGTATTTATTTACTGCTAAAAAGAAACCCCTTCACTTTTCATTTTTGGACATTTATTATACTCTCATCAAAACTGATTTATTATTCAGCGATGAAAACGTGTGAAGGATATGTCAGTTTAAAGAAAGCAATCAACTGACTTTAGAACTAAACGCCTAATCAGCCTGATGAGTTTAATATTGCACTGATTAGTGTTCATTATTAATGTAAGAGTAGAGTCTGGGCACTATGGTGGAATATAATATCATATTAGATAAGTTTGTTTGATATTTAACAGACAGAAGACCAGTAGTTCAGCGAAGAGTCTCTTTTCGGCGGTGAATTCATTTTCATAGCTGTACAGTCACGAATATATGTGGTTGTTTTGTATGTGTGTGTACATTAGATTTGCCAAACGAAAATACAGTTAGTAAGTTCAGATAAATTGAATGTTGATATAAGAGGGTAGTAACAAAAGTGATGAATTGTCACAAACGATTGTTAAAGAAGAGTTACGTAATAACATGAATAATTTGATGAAAGAGTTGTGCTCAGGGTGTATATGGAAATAAAATAAAATGTGGAATTACGCAAGAGTTTTAAGTAGGTAGAAAAATAAGCATACAAGCAAAAGTTAAGTCAAATCAACAGAGTTGTTACCATGATAGTAGAAGTGGTTGAATAATTTTCTTTTGTATGCATAGTTCTGGTTCTTCTAGCTGAATGGCTAGGGCTTCTGCAATGCAAAGAAGACGGAAACGTATTGTCTTTGGCAGGTTGTTCTTCACTTTGTAGATTACTTTGAAGCAGGAGTCGTTTGTTGAGATGGAATGACCAGTGGTGACAAGATGTTCGATTATTGCACTCCTTATACGGCCACTACTTCCTTTCTGCAGCCACGCTGGATAGTGTTCTTTGACCCTTTTTGACAGGATGCGCATCGAACGACCGATGTACCTGGCTCCACAGCAACAGGTGAACTGATATATGCGCATAGAAGTGGTCAGGTGCGGGATCTTGTCCTTTGGGCTTCTGCAGATCACATCAGATATTTAACACATGGTGAGTGAAACAGTAGTAATAACTGAATGATATTGCCAGCCCAATTTGTCCCTCATCTATG